TGTCCCAAACGTGTCCTGCTGAATGTATAGAAAATTCGGTAAGCCCCCCTAGCCCAGGCTTCCCAGGTCGCTGCCTTGGGAATGCTGAAGAGCACCGTGCATACGGTGACAGATACCAAGTGATGCAAACCCAAGGACTTCTTCCACAGTGCTTTCACTGCTGCTTTGGCCATTTACTTCTTGATACAATAACCCTGCTCCCATCACCTAGCTTCCCTGCACACATCGGCACAGAAGAGGTGTGAGCGTTCTGTGGCTATGGGAGGGTCACGGGTGCTGCAGCAGGGTTGTGGGCAGTTGCTTGGGTCTGTGGTTTTCCTGACGGGGTGGAGGACAAGCACACCAGAGTCTGCATCATGGGTGTGTGACTTGTAACTGTGTGCCTACAAAACAGTTGGATTTCATCTAACAGTATGGCTTGGAGCCTCATGGATGTGTAGGCATCATCTCTCCTTTCCCCTGGGCCCTTAATTTTTATCCTCTTAGTCTTTTTAAATTCTCTTTTTCTTTCTATATTTTGGTGTCTGTGTATGCAAAACCTTCTCCTGGAGTTTATTTCACCAGACTGATGTTTGCAGCAGGGTTTATCTGTATGTGTTAAAGCACCTTAGAGTAGGGTCGTGTGTTTTTGTACCTGAGATGAACTGTGTTGCTTGTTCCTACTGCACCGCTCCCAGTGCAGTTGGAAAACAGGAGCCTAAGGAGTTCTGTTCAAATCCATTGTCTTAGGCTGCTGTGTGCTGTTCAGAGTTCTTGTCCATCCAGGAGCCTCTCTGGATTGATGCAAAGTGTTGTAATCCTAAAAAATGAGAGTTCTGGTTAGGTATAGTGTTAGTGTATCTATCTTTGTTTTGCTTCTAGATGTAGTTCTTTTAGGGAAAGCGATTCTGTGGGATGCAACATGCTGTACAGGTGCTCCAAAGTTCACAAGTTGCCAGGTGCAATTGCAAGTTAATCTTTTAGATGGCAGGAGTGATCTGTTGCTCTTCTGCACTTTGCCTGACTCAGCCTGTACGGTGGGAGTTGGGGTAGAAGGGAAAGGGCGCTGCGCTCAGCTGTGATGTGCCCTCTCCGTGTCTCACCTCTCCGTTTGCATCTCTTCTCCAGGAGGATCTTGCTGAACTATGCAGTATTTAACCCAACAATTGGATACTCCCAGGGGATGTCCGACCTGGTTGCCCCACTCCTGGCAGAGGTCCTAGATGAGTCGGATACTTTCTGGTGCTTTGTAGGATTGATGCAGAACACGATCTTCATCAGCTCACCCCGGGATGAGGATATGGAGAAACAGCTGGTGAGGCTGAATGCTGAGCTCCCTTTAGCCCTGTCTTTAGCTTCTCCTCTCCCCAGTCAAATTAGAAGAATGCCATAAAGCAGTTACCTGGGCTGCTGGGTTCCAGCATGCCGAATCACACTCCAAAGCCACAAAATACCTGATGGATAAAATTGATCCTGGGTGATTTGGGCACTCCAGTGGCATTTACAGCCAATAAATTGTCAGAGTAAAGTTACCTTGGCTATGCTAAAGGGTGCTGATTCAAGGAATGTTTTATGATCAGATGTATTTAGGATGCTGCTTGCTTTGTCTTTGCACTTCTCTCAGGCAGTGAAGACTCACTGGTTCGGTTTTGTCCTGATTCTGGGTCATTTCGTGTGAATGAGGCAAAGGAGTTGATTGAGCTGCAGCCCTCTTCTTTGTGGGTTTCTTTTTAAGGTCTTAATATTTTTAATAGATTTTTTAAATTATCTCCAAATGAAAAGCTTTATATATCTGATAGAGTTTCTTAAAATAAGATGAACTTGTTTAAAAATGGGAACTTTTTAGGTTTTAACATGAATGTCAGTTGTTTTTTGGTTAAGATCCTGAAAAAAACATTCTAAACCTGAACAATCCTGTCCGGGTCTGAAAAATCCATTCTAAACCTGAATGCTCCTGTCCAGGTCATGATGGCACCAATTTAAAGTGGTAAACTTGTGGTGGAAACCCCATGGGAGGCTGCTGGTGAGGTGCAGTTAGTTAATGTACAGATTTATGCACTGTAATGTGCCTGAATAGTCAGGCTTTCCAAAATCACTTCCATATTGCTTGGCCTCTACTGAAATGAAATATTGCCAGAGATAGCTGTGTCCTTTCTTTTCTCTAGTTTTTAAGGCTCTAGCCGCTTTCCTCAGCCTGAATCTCACCCCTTCTTTCTTTTCACAATGTAGCTGTCATGGGATTTTCTTTTCACCCTCCGTCCTTTCTTGTGAAATAGCTGCCGTGGCCTATGAGCTCTGGCCTTTAATGATAGATCCAAGCGTGCTTCTGGCTGTGCTGTAATAAACAGGCCGTAAAGCTGGAGCTTTTTGCGAGAGAAGAGAACCGCGGCCAGCTCTGTGGGAGCCCGGCTCTGGCACGCGGTGGGGGGCTCCCCGGGGTGGTGGGTGAGGGCGGCGTGAGCCCTCGTGCACGAGGCAGTGGCTCAGCTCAGACCATCTCTTCCAGATGTACCTGCGAGAGCTGCTACGGCTCATGCACCCACGCTTCTACCAGCACCTTTCTTCCTTGGGAGAGGATGGCCTGCAGATGCTTTTCTGTCACCGTTGGATCCTCCTCTGTTTTAAACGTGAATTTCCAGATGCTGAGGCTTTGCGCATGTGGGAAGCGTGCTGGGCTCACTATCAGGTTAGAGAGCTGGAGACGGGTACAGCGTTCACTGGGCGGCAGTGTGTCCTTTGCTGAGTCCTCACCGTCTCAGCAAGTGTTGCAGAATTTCCTTAAAGGCTTTTAGTAGCAAAGTATCCAAAATAAGTAGGTGTTACAGAGGGTCTGTAACTATCAAAGAGGTTTATCTGTGTAGCAAGGAGGATGGATAGCTGCCTCTCCTACTTGAGAATGCCCAGGCTTCAAAAGGAGGTTTTTCAGAAAGTGCTGACCATCCAGTTCTGAAGTTCAGACTTCTCTTACACAGCTGGAAAATGTCTTCCCAAAAATCACTTGTCTGCTTTGAAAGCCGTGGTTCAAACCTTGCTCCCGTGCTCTAAAGGCAAGAGACTTTGACTCAGCTGTGATTCAGAATTCACCAATAACTCACTTTCAGAATATCGCTAGGCAAAACTGGAAGGAGCACAAAATCCCTGCTAAGGACATGCTTGTGGAGGGTGGGGAGGTTAAGTCAGACTTCTGCCTCCACCTGCTGTACTGCAGCCACTGTTTTCTCATTGCAGACTGACTATTTCCACCTCTTTATCTGTGTGGCCATCGTGGTGATTTATGGGGATGATGTCATTGAACAACAGCTGGCCACTGACCAGATGCTGCTGCATTTCGGCAACCTGGCTATGCACATGAACGGAGAACTTGTACTCAGGAAGGTAAATGCCTGTGTGCTGATGTGGGCTGAGTCTCAGGTCCAAGAGATGAGTCAGAGCATTGAGAAAATCAGGGACTGATGCTTCATCTTCCGCATCTCCTGTATCCCCCTGTTTGTCTGGAGCCTGGGAGGGTAGGATGCTGCTGTTTGCCTGGAAACAAGTTTTGCAGAAATAAGAGGTAGTTGTAGAGTGCTTAGGAGGTAACGGTATGGTTGGGATAACCCTTGCACCTGCTCAGAGCTGTTCGGCTTCGCGCCATGGTCCTCAGTCCATCTCGGGCTGGGAGTGACTGGAGGCTGTGGGATGTGCCGCAGCATACGGCAGCTCCTGCGACCTGGCAGTGTCCCCAGTGCCTCCTTTAACCTTCAGGTTTGTGTTCAGGAGGGATGCTCCTTAGCTGAAGCTTTGACTCTTCTAAGGTAGCTAAACAGGAGGATGGGAGAGGAGGCCACGGGCCACCTCTGCTCTCCGTTTTGTCCCCCGGTGAGGAGTGAATGACTTTGTCTCTCTCTCCCCTCTAGGCGAGGAGTCTGCTCTATCAGTTCCACCTGTTACCCCGCATCCCCTGCAGCCTGCATGACCTGTGCAAGCTGTGTGGGACAGGAATGTGGGACAGTGGCTTCATCCCCGCTGTGGAGTGCTCTGGCCATCACCCGGAGTCCGAGAGCTGCCCGTATGGAGGACTGGCAGAAGTGTCTTCTCCTAAACCAGGAAACGAAGGCAAGAGAGGCTTGAAAACACGGGACGTCTTTGCTTTCCGAAAATAGCTATAAAGGAACAGGGTGTGACAGCAGAAGAGGGAAGGGCAGGAAGGATGTACATAGGAAAAAATGTTGAAGACCAAAATGGAGGGATAGCTTGTCAAGACTCCTGAGAAGACTGAAAGGTGGAGAATGGACAAGAAATTAAATCACTCTACAGGGAATTCCAGTGCACTGGTGGTGGAACCTGAACAAAATGCATCAAACCAGGAACAGTGTTTGCACGTGTTTGGATTTGATTTTGTTAGAAATGTGAAGCTTTTCTAGGTCTTAACAAGGACTTTTTATTCTGCCTCTGGGATTGGACTGGTTAGCAACCAGAACTTTGTTACTTGCTGATGAGAAATGAGAACACTAAAGAGAGCCAAGTACAACCAGCAGCGTTTGTGGGTCAGGTGGAAGGAGCAGAGCTGTGGCAAGACCTCTCTCTGTGATGTCCCTTCATCCAGAGCATACCACACACACGCACTCTCTGCTTCAACCAAAACGTGCAGCTTAGTGGCTTCTCTCTAAAGCCATAAAGACCATTTTAATTATAATCTGCCAAAAATAAAACTGCAGACTATTGGGATTGCAGGGAAGGTGTCTGTTTTGTTGGCAAGGAAGAACTGGTCACCTAAAGGTCTTGTCTCTCGCCTTTTCATTTTTTATATGGTATACTGGCTGGCATGATTTTTTTTCCATTTGTACAGAAAGTGTACAGCCACAGGTCTTAAAGCACTGCTTTTCTGTAGTCAGGGTTTCATAGACACTTTTCAAAGTTTACTTCTTCACGACATTACAGCAAAGCTGTTTCTTTATGCTGACAACTGCAGACTTCAGGCACTTGTTTATGGAAGTCTGTTGTTTCCAGTATGTTTCCCAATGTGCTTCCTTTGGCTGCTCTCAATTACTGAATATTTACTGTCCTTACCTGTCTTTGCCGTAGGCTGTAGCGCATACACCCCAAGTGGGCTGTAGGCTCTTCAGCTGGTGCCAGTAGTGCACCCTCTTCCCCATCCCAAAGTGAAAATGAAACTTGGTTTGTTGCAGTCATTTTTGCTGAGCTCCGTCTCTGATAAAGGTTTCCCTTGAAGTATTTTGAAAGGACAGCATGTTTCTCTGCTTGTCTTCTATAAAATTTGCCAACTGGAAGTGGAGCTGGGGCCTTGAGCACAGCCGTGTTGCCAAATGTCCTTACCAAATTCAGTGGCATCCAAAGGTGTGTCCTGAGCCAGCGTTTGTGCCAAACAGAGCCAGCGGAATGGTTTCCTTGTAAGAATGAAAGAGGAGACAAGGTGACAGTGGGCTGTGCCTGCTTTCCTGCATCCCTCTGCATGGCGTATGAAGTCTCGCAGCCTTTCCCGGTTGTCTCGCCCCCTCTCACTTCAACCACACTGCTCCTCTTATACAGCTGTGTCTTGGTCTGGTGGGGTGTGAAGTCCGTGCTCGCTTTTCACCTTTGTCTATCAGGCGTGTTTGTCCTGTTAGCAGCACGTGCGGAAAACCCCGTATCCTCGTGCGTAGTGCTGCAGCGGGTTCCTGCATCCGACAAGCAGATTTCTCTAAAAATCTTGTTGCGAGGTCTTACCCACAGCCTGTCGTGGAGCCCACGTGCTGCGTACCTGCTGGGAAGGGAGGCTGGCACTGGGATGCTTTGTGTGAAACCAACGCGTACCAAGTCCACGCTGCGTTCGTAAGGGGAAGAAGACTTGACCCTATGCAGGCACCACGCCAAAGAGTGGCTGTTGTGTGGCAGAAGGACAGTTTGGCTCCTGATTTGTGTGCCTTTACTTCAGAGGATGAAAACCTTCCCCTTGATGAGAGCAATGGTGAAACCTACTGCAGTATCACACACCTCCAAAATAGCCCGGCTTCGAGAAGTACCGAGGCTGCAAGGCTGCAGGTGCATGCTGGGGTTGTAGGAGGTGACACCTCGCATAAGGGCTCTAGTGGCTGCTTTGCTGTGAAGCGGGGAGTTCTTCGAAATTTATGATGTTTCAGTGAATAATAAAAGTTTGTGTGAGGCATTTGTGTGGTACATTGCTGTACAGGCTGGGTGCTGTACCTTATAGTCGGGGGACAGCACTTGGGTAGACACCGTCCCCACAGCTTGAGCCGGTCCTTTTGCAGCTGTACAAAGAGACGTGGTGGGTGCTGGGTCTGCGTTGCTCTCCCCAGGCTCTGCTGATTTCAGCCTGGGGACGTGTGGCAGCGCTCGATGTATTCATCTGGATGCAAGCTCTAAGTGGCGGTGGCTGAATTAGGGTCAGAAAAACCACATGTCAGAAAACGCCAGAAGCATCAGGAGCCGGCCCCCGCCTGCCGCCACCTGCCTCCTCACGCGGGACGGGCACCGCCGCGATGCCTTCGCGCCACCGCGGCTCATCTGTCAGCGCCGAAGCAGCCGGGTGCCTCCCTGGGAGCGCTGCGCGAGGAGCGGCCGGCGCGTGGGCAGCTCTGCCGGGCTCTGCGCGCTGGGCACGGGGCGGGCAGACCTCACCTTGGCTCACCAGCTGCTTGCAGTGCGCTGGGAGGCACCAGCAAACACCGACCAGAAGATCCGGAGCTGGTTTTGCTGCAGCAGTCGTTCCCAGGCAGTAAAAGACAATAGGAAGAGATGAAGTAGATAATTTTTAGCATTATTTTTCCACTATTAAAATGTCAATCGGCAATGTGGAAATCACTGAGGATTTGTTTAGTTAAAGACTGCTCTGCGGTTTTCCAGCACGTGGAAAAAGCTGTTTTTTCGCTTTGAAGAGGTGCTGAGCTGCGTGGGAGAGTATCGCCGGGACCAGCATGCCTGCCGCCCCTCGGCCAGCTATCCCGTGCCTGCTGTCCCCTACGGGTCCCACTGCCAGCAGGACATTTCAGGTGTCTTTCTACGACAGCAGCCCTTGTGCTCACCATCGGGAGCTCCCAAAGCTCCTGTCGTGCACTGAACTCTACTTTGCAATAGTCGGAGAAATAGAGACAGAGCTGATAACCTGGCTGTTCCCTGTTTACCAGCAGCTGCCGCATCCCAGGTGACTTGATTCCAGTCTCAGCCTGTTCGTTAACTCCCAATGCCATTATTAAATTCACACTGGATATCCACAAACTTCCGAGCTTGTTTTGGGTGGAAGGTGCGGGGACAGGAGGGTGTACGGAGCTAACCTGGAGCCCTCCGGCAGCAGCTGGGGTAAGGTTAGGAGCAACCTTGGGATTCCTCTGTAGCAAAAGAAAGGCAATAAGTCAAGCATTGAACAGGACAGCGGGTTTCCGAGGTCCTTCTGGCCTGTCCCCAAGATCCCCTTTTCCTTTGTGACACTCTTTGCCATCTGAAAACAAACAAGGAACAAAAAAGAAGCAAGGCTTCTGGCCCCTGCAAAGTAGTAAAGTAGATCCGAGAAACAATGACCCTCATGTGGCTTCTCTCCTGAATCGCTGCCCTGTTCATTGAATTAGCTGCAGCTGAGCAGCCAAAAATAGACCCTTGCAAAGGTAAATAGTCAGCATAAGCCTCTTTAGGCTCAGCCTTGAGCTGACACATCCTTCTGCCTCCTGGTGCCGGGGGGAAGGGGAGCAGGGCGAGCAGGAAAAAAAGAAAACTGAGTCCTCGCTCCTGGCAGGGGTAACACTACGCTTCGTAATCCCAGCGGGGAACCCGATCGCCTGCATCTGGAAAGCCAAGGAGACCGGTGTGAGCCACGCAGCCCGACACCTCCTGGGATGGGGACTGGGCCACGCCAGCCCGCGTCCCGTCCCGCGATGCTGGGGCTGCTGTTGGGCACAGGGGGAGAGGGGAGCGCTGCCCCGCGCCATCCCGGGGCCGGGAGGAGGCAGCCAGCCACCCCACGCATGGGCGCACGGGAGGGATCGATGAAACGGCTTCGTTTGTCCCCGGCATTAAGCGTGCAGGTGGCCAAGGCCCGCGGAGCAGCAATGTTCAGCCAAACTGCTGCTGGAGTCTCCTGTGCTGGGGGGCAATTTGCATCTGTGAACTGGAGCAAAGAGGCAGCTGGGTTAGCTCGGTCTCGCTTTCCGGGTACGGGGTGTGTTTGGACATGGCTGTTTGGCTGTTGTGTTCAAGGGACGCTGTCTGTCAAATGAAAAATTACAGTTCACAAGAACAAAGAGACTCACCTGAGTTATTACAGGCACCAAAGAATTTAAAACCCAACTTAGCTTGTCCCCCGTGGGCTGGCTGATTAATCCCCATGTCTCTCCGCTTGGGTCATAAAAATAGACCAGTCTGGCTGGCTGTAGTTCATGGTCACATCCCGCTCCAGGGCGCTGGCCCGGCCCTGCCCTGCTTGTGCTCAGCGCTTCGGGGAAGGCTCCACATGCCATTTATTTCTCTCATTTAAACATTTAGAAACAAAAGGCATGATGAAGTTTCACAACACCTGGGAAGAAAAGCCGAGGCTGGGGGGAGTCCCCGGTGGAGGCCGGCGGGGGGCGGACCAGCGGCACCGGCCTTGGGGTG